ATTTCAGCCGCCTAGCTTTTGTGGTTCCCGAGTTGAAAGTGCGGGACAAAATGTGGGACATACACAAAAACACACACACATACACACACACACACAAACACACACAGACAGCCCCGTGACAATATGCGTTTTGTACTGCTGTTACACAGCACAAGACGCATAAAAAGTTGTTGTTCTTGCCCTTATTGTCGTTGTTGTTATTGTAGTTATTTCCTCAACTAATACATCATCATGAAGCCTCAGCAATACAGTATACACTTTTGAAAATAGGATTTTCAGAAGTATGATTTTCAGAAATAGGATTTTTAGAGTCTTTTGAAGAACAGCTTTTTCATGTAAACTCTAACTACGGAACAAATATTGCACGGTACAAAGTATGCAGTTAGTGCAGCTAAGTTGTCGCTGTGCTCTATTTCGTTTTGAATAAATTTTTGTGTAAATCCTTTTTTTTGGTATCCTTTCACTTTACCACGTCTTATTATGCATTGTAAGCCTTTTTTTCAGTTAAGCCAATTCTGGTATACAGAAGAAACGGCCATAAAACTTGCCGAAGAATGCGCATCTGCTGTTGATTGTGGCGGAAGAATTGCCTGTGTCTCATGCCCCACACTTGTCGATTACCTTTTGCGAAATGAGGTGTGAAATTTTTGTGCTTTTTGGTTATTTATAACCAAAAATCTTGAAAATTACGCCACTCTTCCTCACTTTTTGGAGAACTGGAACTTATCAAGCACAAATTCGATTGTGTTCCTCTTTGGGATGGGCCAACAGCGCCAAACAAACTGCATATGTTAACACATAGACGCGATTTCAGGCTCCCGTCCTCTTCCGCTCTCCTAGCCAGGGATATTCATTGTTTGTATCTTTAAAATTTCTACAACGGTTATGCAGATAAAACAATGAATTGGTGGAATAAACTTGGGAAAAAGCAAAAATGATCGGTGTATTGGCATACCTCCTTCCTGAATTAAGCTGAGCTTTTTTGAGGGCAAGTTTTAAGGGTATTCGTAAAGGTAGGCGGGAGAGGGAGGGGAATTGTTGTTTTTCTTGATTTTGGTCTAAAATCTTTTTCTAAAGTCCTTTATGCATCGTTAGATCATCAGAGCTTTTTGTGCACGAAAAACTGCACTGGCTATGTTGAAAATGATAAGGCTTATTTTGGTTTTGGAGATTTTTTTTCGGAAAAATTGACCTTCAGGGGAAATTAAAAATTAATTTTTGGTTTCTCTGAAAAACAGCATTGGTTACAGAAAAGAAAAATTTGTGTTTTTGCGATTATCGAAGCATGGTTTAATCACTTTTGAAAATAAGAGTTTTTAATTCTCAATCCGATTTTTTAAAATTTAGCGAAAAAAGAACCTCAGGGCGTGCTACGATCAGGGTTTTCGGATTTGATCGACGATTTTTGTCGAAATTTCCGAAGACTTTTATTAAAATTTGTAAAATTTAGCGAAAAAAAGAACCTCAGGGCATGCTACGGTCAGGCTGTTCGAATATGGTCGACGATTTTTGTCGAAATTTTCGAATTTTTGTTGAAAAAATTTCCGAAGATTTTTATCAAAAATTTGTAAAATTTAGCGAATAACCTCAGGACATGCTACGGTCAGGCTGTTTGAATATGATCGACGATTTTTGTCGAAATTTTCGAATTTTTGTTGAAAAAATTTTCGAAGATTTTTATTAAAATTTGTAAAATTTAGCGAGTAACCTCAGGGCATGTTACGATCAGGCTGTTCGAATATGATCGACGATTTTTGTCAAAATTTCCGGAAGAATTTGTTTTTTATGACTACAACGAACCATTGAAAATTCAAGAAGATTGTCGAAACGCGTTTGATTTGGTTGTAATTGATCCGCCGTTTTTATCCGATGAATGCCTTGTTAAAATGGCACAAACAGTGCGAATGCTCGCCACCGGTTGCCAGTCAAAACTGCTTATTTGTACAGGAGTGGCTATGACTGATCTAGTAAGTTTTTTGTTTTTTTTTTGAAATTCTGAAAATATGCGAAAATGCCTGTAACGGTTTATAATTTGGTGTATGTAACAAGTTTACAAGTTTTATAATTGCACGGGCCACTGAGGCACTGCTTTCGGTAATCGGCCTCTTGGCATTTCTCAAGTTCTTCTCCAGAAAGAATTTATCAGCTCAGCGATTCCGCTGCCGGAAACAGTTAGCAAGGCATTACTTGCCGAAAACAATTGGCTGTTGTTTACAGTCCTCTCTGCGGGCTAGCTTTTTCTTGATATGATGCTCTTAGCGACTTTACGGCGCCCTTCTTACTACTACTACTTTACTTGAATAGTAGAGTAGGAGGATTGGACTTAAGTGTCATGTACAAAAAGACATTTTACGATGCAACCTGTGTTTCATCCCTTAGCTGTAAACACAGACCGGACTATGCATGCGGGTAGGAGTGGGGATCGTCAGTATAGCCTCCTACCCGCCATGTATTGAAAGAACATGTAACTATTTTGCAAAACAGAAACGTGAAAGAAAAAGAGAGAGTACGAAAATGCAACAGCATGAAAGTAATAAGAGTGTGGAGGAGACTAATATATGATATGGGCAGTAATTCTATGTAGCTGTGAGGAGAATGAGAATAACTTACTAGCTGGGCGTTTAATTCCTGCATCATCAGGGTAGATGACTTTGCTGAGTACTGATCGATTCCTGAGGCAAATCTTAGAATGGAGCGTTCTAGTTTGACAGTATCAAACTTCTTTTTTCTATGGATATTTATAAGGCATCTTGCCCAGTCAAGAAACCCCTCTGGGAGGGTGGAAATGCGTGCATATCGAAGTAACTGTAATATAATAACACCTTGTACCGTATGGTCCGTATCGCTATCAGGATGCCCGCCGTAATTGACTGTGAATGGGTAATCTAAGGTCTTATATATGTTAAAAATGCATCTGCCGTCTTGGTATAGAATTTCGAGATCTAAAAAACAGGCAATTTGTCCGGAGTATGTGGTATTGAGTTGTAGGCTGGGCCCAGAGATATTGTTGGCAGTTTCCGCAAAGTTGGCACAATCGACAATTAGAATATCATCAATATGTCGAAAAAGATGAAAATGAAACGGCGGGTTTGTACAAAAAAAGCGATACTTGAGCAGCTGTATGTCATCGACATCCGTTGTTGTCACGCCATCGATGCAGCACTGGCAACTTCTCTCCATTCGATTCGTCGTTGTGGCGCTCTCCGAGTCCACACGATACCGTACAGGTGTACCATGGGGTCTCTCCACCTCACTGGTAGCTTCCCCCGTGTTCGATTGGCGGAAGGAATGATAAATGCAACGTATGCCATTTTGCTGCATTCCTACTACTACTAATCGCTGTTTATTTTTGTTACAGGTTAAGCGATTATTTGGCGCTCACAAATGCAACTTTGAGCCAAAGCATCAACACAACCTGGCCAATGAATTCGCTTGCTTCGCCAATTATGAGACTCGGTTTTTGTGAAGCCGAGTCCTTTGAAACTTCATTTTTTGTATAAATAGACATGAAAGCTATAACACTGGTGATGAGTTGTACA